CAACAAGTTTAGGTTTAGGATTGTGAGGGGTGTTTTGTGAATGAGTGACAATGTGTGCATTAACTCAACACCAACACCCAGAGTCAACCTTAAGGCCAAGCAATCCTATGGGGACTCCCCCTGAGCTCCCCCATATTAGCCCCACCTACTAGGTGCTAGAGGTTAGGACCAATATATGAAACTTCAAGTTGAGCAAATAAGAGTTTAAAATTTCTAATGGTGAGGGTTCCTTTTCTAATTCTCTAGAAATAGTCAACAGAAAAATCTTATGGCTAGAAATAGTCAACAGGAAAGTCCTATTACTAGACCCTAGGCTACTAAAGAGGAGAAAACTAGACCTCAGCTAAAAATGAGGTCAACAATGATTCATACATGTTATGCTATACTATGATATATTACATGAATTTATTTATGATTCATACATGTATATGAAATATCCATGGATAAATGCTACAAATATTATATTATAAGAAATTTCATGAGAAATGTATGGGCAAACTATTACATGCAGGGATATATTCCCAACTTCTAATATTTATACGAGAACGAAACACTGGAAACCGTTGGAAATAAACGACGACAGAATGTTAGGGAACCACGGGTATCAGAGCGGTTGTCGATAACTGCTATGTTGGAGGAGTCTAATTTTTATCGATAGTTTGTATGGCATGTGGGACAGGGTGACGACCCATGATGAAAGAACAAGAAAATATTTGAACTTTATACATTACACAAATGACACTATTATGATATGACCTTTATGAAATAAATAAACATATTTCATGCTTACGACCTGCTTGTTACACTATAGTTAATTTTTATATTATATGTGTCTGCTCTCTTTTCATGTTTTCTATTATGCCAACAAGTTATGATTGTGTTTAGACTTGTACAGCTTCATTTGAGTATGCACGTTACTTTTTTTCTATGCTTAAAATCTTATTTTAGCCCTGATTATTTTGTTGAGCAAGTTTTGCTCACTATACATTATTGCTTTCAGGTAGGGGCAACAAGCACTGGGGAGACTAGCCGGGTGTGACTTGTACTATTTTTTTGCTAAATTAGGAAAATTACTCTTCTATAGGTTTCATTTGATTTCTAGTTTGACGTTGATATATTTAAAAATTCTAGCAAATTGTAGATAAATATCTATAATTAATTTATGAATACAAGTTGACTTTTATTATACTACACATGATTCTATGCTATTTTATGATTCAGATGATTATGCATATGATATTGATTGCTTGGAAGTATTCATTATATTATGATTCATGTTTATTAGATATGAAATACCTGATTGTAAGAATTATACTTTATGAAATGTCTAATGAATATTACTACAGGTAACATGCTTTAAAAATGTCACAATAAATGTTAAGGGATAGACAATTACATGAATGTTTACAAGTACATTATGTAGGATTGTATTTCAAACTCCTAATATTAATACAGGAATGCAACTCTGGAAATCGTTGCAATTAGGAGGTAACAAAATATTAGGGAACCGTGAGTATCAGGAGAGTTGTCGATAACTGCTATGTTGGGGGAAGTTCAACCTTAATCGACAGTTCATACAGCCTTTGGGGCAGGTTGATGACAAAAAATGAAAGAACATGGAAATAGTTGAACCCTGTACATTAAATAAGTGATATTATTATGATATGACCTTTATGAAACGACTGACATGCTTGTACTTATGATTTCATGTTAACGATCTGCATGTTACACTGCAATTAATTTTTATATTACTTGTATATGTTCTCTTTTCACGATTTCTATTATGCGTCATGTTATGATTGCAGGTAGACATGTATAATTTCAATTGAACATACAAGTTACTTTCTTTCGATATTTAAAATCTTATTTTAACCCTGATTATTTTGTTGAGCTAGTTTTGCTTACTCTATGTTGTTGCCTTCAAGGTAGGGGCAACGAGCACTGAGCAGAATAGCCAGATGACTTGTACAGCTTTTTATTCCATAGTTAGGAGCCTGTATAATCTTTTTGAGTATGTACTTATTTATTGAATTTAACAGCTCCGTATACGTATGTTTTGATGATATAATTTTCATGCTTCTATAAATATGAACGAACATTGACTACAATGTATCATGTAGTTGCGGCGATTCAGTCAGACTAATTCATCATCCACTGAGTCCTGATTATAGAATCAGAATGAGTGCTAGTGAGAATTAGTCTAACCAAATTGCAAGCCTCTGTCGCACCATGATTGACCATTAAAGAGGGGTTAGTTGGGGTGTGAGATGTAGTCCTTGAAATATATATTAGTTATCATTTAATTTTTAATTATTTTCTATTTAGATGAAATCAATTTGGATAGATTCAATAATTATCTTCAATTAACTATTCGTTTATAACTAATATTATATCTTCGAGCCAAACTAAACATTACAATCATGAAAAATACCCAATAATTTGATCTCTTCTAAAATTTGGTAATGGTCCACCATCAATTCTATTAGGTTTAAAAAAACCATTTTGGAGAAATAATCAATGCCTTAAAGGAGGAATTTAAGTATTCAACAATCAAAATAAAAAAAAATTCTGACAATCTTCAAGCAAACAATATAAATATTAATGTTTTATTCAATAGCATGAATTAAAAGAAGCTAAGCTTCATTTATTTATGACAATTTGGCCAGTTTTGCTAAAGGAGTTGGTTGGGTTGTTATTGGCTCAATCGGATTGAATTGGTTGTGTTAGACCATTAAAAATTTTGATTGGGTTGTAAAGGTTTTAAGTTTTTGAATGGGTTGTGGTTTTGGATTTTGTGGATTAGATGGATTTTAAGATGATGAGGAAATGGTCTATAAATTTGAAGATGAACAGCTAATAGTATACTTGCAAAAAGAGTCTTGTAAAGAATTTGAATTAGAATTTGAGTGGAATGATGTGAAGGAAGACGTGTGGAGGAGAGAGAACGGAACGAAGTTTATAATAGAAGAATGAAATTGAGTAGAGTAATTCACAGTGATGTGCTCTACAAGAAAAAAAATTAGAGTTATTCACATATGCAAATAAAATGCAAGCAGAAAGGGGTGACTGAGAATACTGAAGCACAAGCCATATACCATTGACAGCTTACGCCTTGATGTAAACAAAGGATTCCATATGCCACATGGGCTTTGGAATATTTGATGAAGAAAACCACAGAAATTGACTTCGAACATAGTGGAAAGATAAAATATCTGAATACAGTCTAAGGTTTCTGATTAGATTTCTAGTATTCAAACTAGGAAGGAGCCATAATGCAGATAAAACGTTAAAAAACAAGAAATTTGCAGTAAATAATATAATAATATGTTTTATTCAAATCAAGAGAAATTACGCTAAGCCACATTACAAAATATAAATGTAATCCTAGATAACAAATTACATAACAATCAGTAATTAAAAAAATAATAATAATAATAAAGAAAAGTACAAATGACAGAGAAAAAAACAATAACATAAACACGGCACATCAACTTGACACTGCAATCATGACATACAACTGATAATTTGACGTGAAGAAAAAAAAGTTAATGGTCTGCCATCACTATGCCCATCTTGGTATCTACCTACATTTACTATGTCATGAAATACTCCTTAGCTCAAAATGATGGAATATGTTCCATAACCTCTTTTTTCACTTAATTTATCTTCCATAGGAATGCATTAAAAATATGTGCAAATAATTAAAATTGCACAAAAGCTACTTCCAGAATCCTCTAATTTACTCTCTAGGCAAAACTATTACAGCTCTTACATATGACGCTAAAAAACCTGTTTGCGCCTCCAACCAAAACTGGATCAAGGATTTCCATCTCCATTCCAGGGAGTTGTTTTTTCTGGTGGAGACTTACGATGCCATACCCACCCCTGTATGGTTTGCTCGGAGGGGGCTCACGGACAACTTGGATTGCCCAAGGGGCTGCAGCGAACCTGAAACCAGCGAACCATAATACTACTAATTGTCCTTTTTTTAGGATAAAGGGATATAATGGCAAATTGGGGCATCAATGTCCCAACATTCCAGAACTTCAATGATGCAATCGACAAACTTTTTACGACGACGAAGAGCAGGACTCCACAGGCCAGATGGTACTGCTACATTATCCATTATTGTTGGAAGGCTCACAACGCCAAGATTCACAACCAAGAACATAGCACGCTGACCATTATTGTAGCGAACATTCTCGAGGCACTTACTACGACACTACTTTTTCCTTTTCGGGAGTAATTGGATGCTGGCCGACCCATCGGGTTGGTTCCCCCTACCTTTTTCTTGCATCCTCCCCCTCCTGGATGGCTCAAAGTGAACATTGATGTTGCACTATTTCCTTCTAGTGTGGCCGGTACCGGCGTCATTGTTTGGGTTGAGAGGAGAGTTGAGGTTATTGCTAAAGGGCATCTTTTTAAGCATTGGAACAGCGCTCAAGTAGAACTTCAAGTCATCAAATCTTTCTAAAATATTTGTCAACCATGGGTTCTTGAGTGCTAAGGCATCGTCATGGAGGGCGAGAATGCTAATATCATGCACTCCTTGAGATCTACAAAGCAAGAAGCTTGGGGCAAACAATTATAGAAAGCACCTGATTTTGCATTTCTCTTACCTTTCAAGCAAGTTTTGTTTTTCCATATACCACGCGACTGTAATAGGGCCGCCCATTTTTGTGTCAAGTGTGCCATTAGTGGTTCTTTTGTTTTAATGCATGTAGATGACAATACAGAGCTTTCTACCAAACTTGTAGATGACAAGTCTCTTCTTTGTACACTATATATGCATACACGCTTAGTTTTTGTACCTTTTTGATATACTAATGCAAATGTGTATTTTCACAAAAAATGCTCATAACAATATTTGTTTTACTTGAAAAAAACATTTTGTATAAGAAAGTTTAACTAGTTAAAAAATTAAAAAAAATCATGCCAAATAAGTTTCATTAAAAAAGACCAGAAATCGGCCAAGAGTAGGGAAATTAAGTGAGTTTGACCTCTCCAACACGGCCCATTGCTTGCGAGTCAGAAGAAATGATACTAATGGCTCCCATGTCATGCAAAATGTCTTCTGCCGCAATTGTTTCTGCTCGTATACGTGATTCAGCAAACGCTACATCTTCAGGAATGTCCTTATCCAGGTGATGGCAAACCAACTGCTTTGTATGTCTTGAACTTAGATGTCAACTTCAAATTAGTATCAATAAAGTAAAAGCTCTGAACATATTTTACCAGCATATCAAGGTGCTCGTCTACTGTATTTCTGGTAAAAGGTCTGGTTGGATTTGTTGACGAAGGCAAAACATTTTTTACACCACATACTTTAATGATATCTGGAGCATGACCACCGCCAGCACCTTCACTAATGTATCAAAAAAATAAGCTAAGCAGCAAATATGAACACAATATGAGAAACAAACTAATTGATGAAGATACTGTTCATACATTCCATAAGTAATTCCAGGTACGCTTCACTTTATTTATGGTTTTCATAGCTCATAAGGTCATTTAAGCATATAATAGAACAGTAACACCGAACTAGTAGATCAATAAATACACATGAAACTTCAGCAAGTTGATTATTATGGTTTAGCCAAAATACACTAGTAATAAAAAAAACTAAAATACAAATCCATGTTATCAAGTGTAATTTCTAGTGATGCTTTTATGTGGCACCCATTGTAACTGCGTGAAATCTAATGCAGCGAGATATTGTTCATTTTGGCCTAATGACCTTTCATTTTGGAGTAATTTCCTAGAAGGTTACCCATCTTGAGAGTGCTCCAATAAGAACAAGCTTAATTTTGGAGTTCATGAAGAAATTCCAACAGCACCAAAAGGTGTCTTGCTGTCTTAGAGTTCAGCTTGATCCTACTTAATGAAATTTACAATCTCCCCCACTTAAGAAATTGACTTCCTCATCTTTAAGTTCAAAATGGTAGAATGAAATTGAATTCAAAAACATTGAAACACGTTATGGCATAATTGTTAGAATCTCATTAGGAGATCCAAAACAAGCATGCTTTTATAAGAGAACTATATGCCTTTCATACGTGCTCTGTCTGGTTATAGTACCCGATTGGAAAGCCTTGCGGGAAATGAATTCAGGAGATAGGAATGGTAAAGCAAAACACCTTATACATTTATTTCATTCATGATTAATTCCAGTCATCGAATCCCCATCACGTTGCTGCAAACTTCGCAAAGTGGGCTTGCTATAGTGTTATGGGAATAAGGATTAATAAAGAATTAATTAGAAATTCAGTTAAAATTAATTAAACTTTTATTTTAAATTTTTTTCTCTCCAAATATAATCATAATTATATATAGTGCTATCTACTAAATTGATTGTTAAAAAGTATAAATTTTTTTTCGGTTGGATTTCGGGAAATGCAAAAATTGGGGAATCTTTTAAAGCGATCAATTTTTTACTAGATTTAACCAAAATTAGGTATTACAAAACACCCCTCATAAAAATTTTATTCTCAAAATTTTTGAACAATTAATTGATTAGAAAGGAGAATTTTCACAACATTTCTTGTTCCCTTTACCAAGTAGCTTCATTTTCTGACCCGTGCTTCCATTTTATCTTGACATAAAGGAACAATCCTTTACATTATACTCTAAAATCTTCTTAGGCTCCTAAATTTTTCTTACATATTTTATAATCTATATCTAAACATGAAATTCTCTGGTATGAGTTTGAAACTCATTTCTCGGCATTAATATGAGAAAGACAACATGAGTATTTTACATATCTCCAGGTAAAACTAGCCCATAAGCAACTTGACCAATATTTCAATGATTTCAAAAGAACCAATATATATGGGGCCTAACTTTATTCCTTGATCAATTATGGTTGTATATTTCATTGACCTAGCTTTTAGGAACACAAAATCACCAACCGCAAACTCTACTGCTTAATTTATTGGTCATAAAACTTTTGTTGTCAATCCTGAGCAACTTTTTATCTGTCTCTAATTAATCTAATTTTCTCTGTGACCTCAACTATTTTAAGACTTAAAATTTGACGTTCTCCAACCTCAACCCAACTAAATGGAGTTCTGCATTTTTTGTCATATAGTGCTTCATATGAAGTCATTTTACTGCTAGATTGGTAACAATTATTGCAGGCGAATTCAATCATCAGAATTGATCATCCTAATTGCTTCCTAGAGTCAAGAACATAAAACATCAATATGTTCTGTAATACTGACATTTTCCTTTCTAATGGTCGATCGATTTATGGATGAAAAACTGTGCTAAAGTACAAATGCATACCTAAACATCTTTGCATGCCTTTCCACAAACTGGATGGGAACATTCCATCTCGCTCAGAAATAGTAACCTTTGACATACCTTGTAGCCTAACTGAAAAGTATAAGGTTCAGACTTCAGATACAAAGCTACGTTCGGATGTCATTGAAATCCCACAAAGTGTAAATCCTAGTCTCATCGCTTAAAAATAAAAATGCTTATTTGTTATCGCGCGATTCGGCCTGACCTAGCCATCATCGTCGAAAAAGCTTTATTTGTCACTTTCCGCCTTATTTTGCAACGTTTTTCATTTGCGATTGGAACGTTCTTGCTTTATTGTGTCACGTTTTTCATTTGCAATTCTGAAAGCGAGGGTTTCGAGCAGCTGTGATGGACTTCTCTCTCGACAAAGAAATTTTTAATGATGAATTCCAAAAATAATGGAGACGAGTTTGAAACGGAGGTGAATTAAGCTTCAGCAAAAATGTTTTCATTATCGTAAAGCCATTGTTGTGGTGCTACGGTAGCATTTTTGCGGTGCTTATTCTTGAGTTATTTCTGGTATTTAGTAGTTTTTAATCAGGTATTTTTATGTAGTTTTTTTAATGATATTGTGGTGTTATTAAGCTGTAATTTGTTGGTATTATTGACGTTGGATTGTAGTGCTACAGAGGTGATATTATGGTGATATTACTTTGTCACTAAGACGAAAGGTTTCAAACATATTGAGGTGGGACTGTAGTGTAAGTCTGGTGTTATTATTTTGCTAATCTAGTATTATTTTATGGTTAATACGGTGTTATCCATGAGTTATTGTAGTGTTATTTTGTTGTTATTGAACGGTATAATTGTAGTTTTTATAGAGTTATTGTGGTGTTATATTGATGTTATTATAGTATTTTTTTGTGTTGTTTTAAATTTTTTGTATTATTATGATGTCATGCTGGTATTATTCTGGTGTTATAGGGGTATTTTTTTGGTTACTATGAGTTTTTTGTGGTGTTATTGTTGTGCTATGCTGGTGTTATTCCAATGTTATTGTAGTATTAATTTGATGTTACTATGATGTTATTTTAATATTATTCTTGTGATATTTTGGTCTTATTCTGATAGTATTTTGGGATTATTCTTGTGATATTTTTTTGATATTATTCTGGTATTATTCTTGTGGTATTTTGGTGTTATTGTAGAATTATGAAGATATTGATCGAATATTTTGTTTTATTGAGTTGTAGTATTCGGTTGGTGTGATTTTCATATTTAACCATATTTATAATATTATGCAAATTTGTAATTCTGTGGCCTGAAAACGCTTGCAAATCTAATTGCAGAAGGTTTTCTACGCACCATTGTCCACAAGGGCAGGAAGCATATGAACATTATTGTCCTTAGGCCCATCATGTTGGATTCAATGTCTAAAAGGATCATAATAGATTTTAGCCGAACTCGAAAAAAATTAAAACAATGGATTTTTATATATGGAAAAGCTTGTCGCAAAAAAGAGTCGAAGTTCACAAACACGGTGAAGTTCAAAAAAGCGTACACAAGGACTGAGTGTCAAGCCATGTTTTGATATGCTGTCGATGTTGAATGCAACTGGACAGCTAAAATGTTTGTATAAAGTCATAACCATCCATTAGTGGAAACTGATCATAAAGATCTTTAGCGTTCCAACAGAAAGATAAGCGAAATAAATACAGATATATTGAGATCAATGACAGGATCAGAGAGTATAGCAACAAATGCATTTAACTTCCTTGCTATAGTGGTTGAGGGAGTAGAAAATTTGGAATGTACGAAAAGAGATGCATTCAACTTTATTCAAAGAGAAAGAAGACATAGACTTGAACACGGTGATGTCAATTCTCTGTCACAATTGTTTATGGAGAGACAAACTGAAGATAACATGTTTGCGTGGAACTTCCAAACTAATAAAGGAGGTAGACCAATAAGTTTATTTTGGAGTGACGGGTTGTCCAGACTTGATTAAGATTGTTCTGGAGATGTAGTAATTTTTTATACAAGCTACAGACTAAATAAGTATAATTTATGTTTTACTCCTTTTGTAAAGATTAACTACCATCGATAAAATGTTCTCTTTCGAGTTAGTTTTTTGTTCGACGAGACGATTGATTCTTTCAAGTGGTTATTCAAAGCATTATTTTGTATAATGAATGACAAATATTCAATTGATGTTTTTACTGATCAAAATCGAGCAATGACAAGAGTTAATGAAGATCATCTCCCACATACACCACATAGATTATGTTAGTGACATATCTATAAGAAATTTCCTTCAAAGTGCATTATAGTATGGGTATCAAGAATGTGAACGACCTTTTTTATAAATGCATGAGCAAGTGTGATTCCGAAAAGAAGTTTAAAGAGACTTAGGCCTCGTTTGTGGCAGTTTATAAGAGCGGACAATGTTTTCAAAACGTCGTCCCCCTGTTTGGTAAGCACGTTCGCACTGAGTTTTAAAAAACATCGTATTGGATTGTTTTATATACACAGCCAGGGGATCAACCCCGCGGCTCGCGTTCGCTCGCGACTTTTACCTCCCTGCCCTCTTCTCTCTCGTGTGTCGTCTCTCTAGCGTCTTCTCTGCCTTCCTTTGTCTCTCGCGTCTCTTCCCTCTTGCGACCCAAATCAACTTCCCCGATAAATAGCTAGGATGACAACGAAGGGATTTACGACAACTGGTCGCTGAGGGAGTCTGAGAGCGGGTGGAAGATGGGTGATCTTTGCAACAAGGAACCGGTGCCTCCCATCTTCGATTTTCCGCCTCTCGTATAGCACGCAAAAGGTCAGGATACCTACATACTATCTTGCCTCCTCTCTCTCTCTCTCTATCATCTCTCTCTTTTTCTCTTATGCACCTATTGCGCGCAAACATATTTTTATCAGAGAAACTGTTCCCATAAAAGACGAGCATTTTAGCAATACCTGCCTTTTTTTCCTGCTCGTAAGAATCAACCAAAAAAGATTATTAACGTTGCTGTAATTTGTCAGTCAGTGTCAATTCTCGTTGCTTGTATTTCTATTGAAAACATATTTTGTTCTTATTTGATAGTTTTTTCCTGTGCAAAATGCTTTCAGCATGTA